AAATATCAAATCCTCGGTGAATGAAGCATCCGTCGAGGATCGTGAAACAAGGTGAAGTTAATTCGTTTAACGAGCTTAACTGGACGACTGCGAGACCTTCGAGTCTATGGAGGCTGAACGCGGCAGGTTTTTCGCGCTTTCGGCGTCCTCCTCGAGCGGGTACGGATTGAAAGGCTCGGTTTGTACACCGACGTCCTCGTAATCGAGTTCCAAGGCGTCTTGCTCGTAAATTGCGTCGTGACTTCGCGGCCGAGCTACGGAAGGAATCCACGGCTGCGGCACGCCTTTTCCAAGCGCCAAGAAAACCGCGGCGGTCGTTAACAAAACGACGGAAGCAACGCCGAACACCAGCCGCCACGAGCCGGCGATCTGAAACAATCAGATCCTCCGATTCATTGCGGCAGAATTTGTAAGATACACCATTAAATCGTAAATTACTACGAGATATTTGCAGAAAGGAAGAAAGTGAGGTGCAACAGCCTTTTAATTAAAAAAAAAAAAAAGTCATAAAAAAGGAGACGAGGAAGTTTAGAATTGAAAGTTCCTTTCACGATCATAAAAGGTACACAGTCAGAGATACTGTTTGCTCGTGAAAGGATACTGATACAGCGAAGAACATAATTGTAGTAATAACGAAAAAAAAAAAAAAAAAAAAACAAAAAGAAATGAAAAATTACGAATCATTAACCCATTTGCATCATCGCTCTATTTCAGCTGCCGCGTTGAAACATCAGCAACGTTCAACTGAGGACTGACTCGTATCACCGCGCGCGGTCGATCGTATGTGCAGTAACGGGCATCCAAATTATCACAAACATGGCATTTAAAGACTGCCTCTCTTCGAATTGACTTACTTAAGCATACAACGAATCGTTTTGATGTTCTGTTTCCTGTCGCAACCAAAGAATATTTCGCAACTGGTAAAAAAAGCAGTCGTAGGCTCGCGGATTATTCCGCGCTCGGTGATAGCAGACAGTCGCGGCTCGCGGATTATTCCGCGCTTAGATGCAAATGGGTTAAACTACTGATATAACTTTGAAAACTGAAAGAAAAGTCCTATAGTAATCCACTTGGTCTCAGAGATTTTATTCTGACACTTTCGTGAGTTTCTTTTGAAGGCACACTTTTCTCGAAAATTGTAAAAATTCGAAGTCATATCAGTTTGTTATTGGTTATGCTCTTCGCTGTATAAAACAGAGCTTTCTTCCCATGGTTGTGTATTACTTTCTGCTTTCGGCTGTTTTTTACTTGCAAAGAATAGAAAAAAAAAGAAAAAAATGGGACTCACAGAACCGTGAAGAGCCTGAGTGACAAAGTAATTAGCAGCCAATAGGCCGGCTGCGCCTAGAGTGGAGCACAGTGCGCAGGCAGCTGCCGCACAGGCCGGCGATTCTACAGGAGCAAGGTCTGCTATAGCGGCTAGAGCACCGGCTGGTGCGGTGCCAGAGACGAGGAGAGCGGCAATGCCCAACCAAGCTGCACCTAGCGCTTGACAACCGGCATAGCCAGCGACGAAAAGCAGGGCAGCGGGGATGAAGTGAGCTGCGATGGAACCGCAAAGCTCAATTACTCTGTCGATATCGATTTCCCTCTCGACGAATCGAGGAACGTAATTCGATAGAATTAGAAGGAATTCCTCAATGAAATTACATACCAGTGTATACGACCAACTTTCTAGCCGTGGTCGTCGAAACAATTTTCGACTCGCGAACGTGATCCACGAGGAGACCACACGTTAACGCAGCCATGAAATGGCCAATGTGCGGTAACGTCGTCAGAACAGAGTCCTGGAACAGAAGGTGAAAGTTTCGAAAATTTTCACACTGCTTCATAATTTAATTTGCCCGTGCTAAAGATTGTAAATATTGTAAAGAGTTGAATTCGTGTTCTCGTCCGTGCGAAATGGAATACTCACATTAGCCGTTGAAAATCCGTAAATGAGTTTTAGATATTTTGTCATACCAAGAGCAAGCGTCGCATCGCCCCATTGATTCCCCATGGTTGCTACAGCAGATGCCCAAACAGGAACTGATCGCAGTAACTTTCCCCATGGAATCACGGCAGCCTGTTTCGTCATTAATTTTACACTTTTTGCAGTTCATTACATTCGTCATCGTTCGACATTGAGAAGCATTTAATTACGATCTAACGACGTATCAAAAATGTCACCAAGTGAAACGAAAATCTTTTTTGCTCGCTGTTTAGCAAGTCCTGGGAGTCTAAAGGGACTCGGAAAACTAACGATGTGATTTATTCAACACTTAGCACGGAAATAATTAACTTTACATGACGCCTCATTAATCTTTTTGAAACAATAGTATAATAGTTGCGATTGCACATATTGTAGTAATGTCGCATGATTCATAGAACCAGTTAGCCAGTTTCTTTGTTACGACTCGTGTTGTAATAATGGCCTGATTAAAGATTGCTAAAAATTACCGGATGTGTTTGTGAAGAAAAACAGTCTTACATTTGTATCGTGCTGGTAGGATTTTGGCGTGTCTTTGACAAATCGGCCGAAAGCGAAGTACCAACACAGTGCGATGCAAACGAGACCGTAACAGAGCGAATCTCGACCAAAACTTCGAACGACAGCCGTGCCTAACCATCCCGTGAGGCAGTACCCAACGCTGACAGCTTTTAAACATCACAGAAAATTGCAATTGCATGTTCGATACAAATAATTACGAAATATAATCCTAATACTTGAATCGTACGAGTAACACTATCAAAATTTACCAGCGTAACAACTGAAGTACCAACTTCTGTGAGTGCTCTTAAACCAAGTCATGGCGAGCATGTGAGCAGCAGGCATAGTTGCTCCCTGTAAAGATGACGACGACTTAATGTTATAATTTTCGTACGTACGTTAATAAGTATTATTATTAATAATAATAATAATCTCGGTGATGATGCTGTTGGATTTGTGACAGTTTCGTTGAATCCTTACTGTGCATAATCCCTGAAAGAGACGAAGCGCTACGTGAGACGGACTTCTCCATGCGGCTGGGACCAACAAAGATGCCAGACAAGCACTGAGAACCGCACGCGAAAACACAACGGATGGGCCTGATCTTCCCCAGACTAGACATCCTCCTAAAATCGGACCGGCCACTTGGCCCCATAGAAACGCTTCTCTCATTATGGATTCTGCACGCTCTTCCGGTGGCAGCTGAAAATATTACGACCCAATTATCAATCGATACGAAGTAAGAGTAAATGTTGAATGATGAACGAACAGAACACTGAGTTTCACCTCCATCAGTATAACTTCGAAGTCTTCGGTACGGTTACGGCTACTGACGTTGACCAACATTTCGCAGTGCCACGACGTGTCGATGATGGCATGATTGTCTTTTTGATTGGCAAGCAATGCGACCGAGGAACTCACTTCCACTGCACCGCAAAGTGCAAATCCCACTGCAACGAGCGCAGCAACGACGTGTCGCGCTCGCACAGCCGCTAATTAATGACAGAATTATTGAGCAACAATATCCAGTGACAGATATTACGTGAAAATTTCTGTTGTGAAGATGATCAAAGACATGTATTTTTTGCTAAATCGAGTATATAACTTTTAGTTTTAAATTCATTTCGGCTCTTTGTTATCAGTCGACAGCAAGCAAGCAATTGTTATGTGCATTGTAAGCGTACAGACATTATCGGCGACACTACACGTCGTCTCTAATAGAATACTGTTTGACGTTGATAAGTTGATTAAACAGTTGATTTCACAATCTCTACCATTTCTCAGAGTAAAGGAAATATCTTTTTAATTATTTATATATCACGACACATGGAAATACGAATTTACTAATATTGGTCAAGTTTGTCCTTGACACCGACGAACATTATAAATTCTTATCCCGACGAAACGTTACGCATCGCGATATTTACGTAACTTTCGGATGTAAAAAGATTTATTTGTCTAATAATCGACTTTCTTCAAATTATTTACTACGTCGTGTTATGTGTGTAAACGAACCTCGAACTTCTTTCGCGGCTTGTTTTATTTGAACACTGCTCTGTTTCACCAGCTGCACGCTACCTCTTTTGACAAAGTCTTCCATTTCACACTCGAGAAGATGAAAATCAAAGAGCGCATATATACTCTTATCATTCTTGTCTATTGTTAGAGTTGGATTCCAGGACCGCCTATTATCTATTCCCTATCCCCGGTGCCGTGTGACCGACCTCGACTTTGATTTCCTCCAAACGTAGCATATTTAGAAAACGCATATCGTCGACTTGACGATAAGGAAATTTTTATTCATCTTCTATCTACATACACTCGACGTATATCTTTTTGTTTTCGTGTAACGATAACAGGTACGATACAAAACATTCTAATGTACACATCGAGCGAGAAGAGAAGATAATTATATAATTTCAGATACAACCTATCGTGGTATTTATTAATCGGACAAGTGATAAGATCAATCCATAGATTATCTTATGGATTGAAGAATTCGTCAATCTACAATTTGATTAAGTCTTTGTATTTACTATCAACATTCTCACTTCTTACGTCAACGTCTGAAAGTGGATTTTTCATTCACCTTTCGCACGAGTAAGAAGATAATTAATAAGTTGAAAACTAAACAAAAAGGACATTTTCAAGCAATGCAACATTTTTTTCTACGATTAGAACGTAACTGAAATTTCAGATCAGTTTTACCCGATAACAAATACATCCGTCGTTTAATTGGACGGATAATTTGCTAAAATAATTTGATGTTTCATCAAAGCTTGGAATCATCGTGAAAGAAGAATTTTTCCATACCTTTCATTTCCAGCGCCGCGTGTCTCAATTGAACGCTTCCCCGTTTAAGACGAACGAGCGCTGCCATATTTATCACTCGTATCGATGAACAGTTCGAGTTTTCATTACGCGACACGGATCTAAATGGTACGAAGTTAAACACATTTTACGACAGACCACGCCGGTTTCTCACTGGCACCTCTCAGCACGGTGATACGGGGTCAATCGGAGCGTCACGAGTTGCACGAACTACACTGGTCATCTAGGAGTACGAGTGAATGAACATCTCCGTTAACGAGACTTGATATAATAAGTACCTATGCCAGGGCAGCCTTGAAGCACCGTTTCAGGCATGCCTCGTGATATTTTCCCAACCGTACTACCCAAACCGTATCACGCATGGATTTCATACGTGATAACAGGCTGATTTCAAGCAGCGAGCCTTCGTTCGCCTTATCGGCATCCCGTAAAATATTAAATAACACTGAAATTTTGGATTGTTTTGTTTTTTATGATAACGTATCTAAAAATAACTGTTGCAATTTTCATATCTGGATTAAACGATTCATGAAATCGACGAAAGTAGCGCCGTGTGCTCGTGAAAACTGAGTAATTTGAATATATGTACATTTTTGTATTCCATGTTTTATCGTTTGATTAGAAATTTCATTATTCGCGATAAGAAGTTCGATAGAACTATATAATTTTTCTATAAATAATTTAAAAATTATCGAGTCACTGATTGTTATAATATGAAAATTATTTTTACTAATATCAACAAACTTCCTACACATCGATCACATTCGTAAGTCGAATTTTAATAAAACTGCTGAATGTTTAAAGTTTTTAATCATTAATTAATATCTCTAGTGTTGTATTCGTGACAATTAAATCATTAATAGATTTGTGCAACGTTCACAAATGTCGTTTAAAATTATTACAACGCAAGTGTGTATGATACAAGTGTTTGCATGGCCGCATTTTTACGCGCGCTTTCGATCGTAATTGTTCGGCCATTTTCGGGACGATTCCGTTGACAGCGCCAACGTTCATAACCAGTCGTTTTCGGGAGAATTCAACGAGCTGTCGCGTAGGTTCAATGTCAGTTAAATTGTGCCGTTTATTGTGACAAAATAAGTGAAAATGTGACGAGACGAACGTGTTTTATTGACGTACATCGATTTTTCTGCCCTCCCTCTCTTATCATATTGTCCTTTAAGTCTTCAATTCAAGTTTGACAACATTTCAGGTATTAGGTTAAAATACGTTAAAATACGAAATTAGAAAGGATTAAAAGCATAGATCTACTTAAAATTATTGTCTCAATTAACTGTTTATTGTTTGTTCAATCTACATAGAATTCCATATTTCATATTGTAATGATTATTTATAATTTCATAATTACATTTGATTTCAATTTCAATTGCCATTGACATTGCAACACAACGACCTCGTCTGTGCTTACTCCATACTAGGTCGGTAATATCGCATACAATATTAAAATAATGACAATAGTTTTTTCACGTTCCAACTTTGCAATTTTCATTAGTTTCATATAGTGAATTAATATAATATGTAATATACTTTTCATCGCGCAATACATTTAAAAATACATTTCGTTTTCAAAATGAAGTTTACTTTTTCTACCTTACCGACTAACTTACCGACCACTGGTCAAACGATAGCGAACAAATGCCAACTACCTAGCAAAGGACCCCCTTCAGGCCCCCACTGGATCTTTTACCAGGGCCCAAAAGGTTGCGCGTCAGGTGGTCTTTTTCCCTCTTGTTTCCTCGCTCCCACCATTCACGGAGAAACATCGCGGCGTACCACCTGCAAGGCGATTGGTCAGTTCAGAGACAGGTCAAACGGCAGCGCATCGGTTAGTGTCTCTGTCACGTTCGTCTCCTAGTTTCGGAGCGTAGCGGAGGTTGTCGAATCGCGTCCTGAATTTATCTGAACGAGGAGGCCTTGCACGAGCCACGTGAACGAACGTGAACGTGAACGCGCGCGGTTACGCGTCTTTGAACAGCGTGTGCGATTCGGCGGGTACGGCCGACCGAGGGAACGGCGAATTCCTACGTGCTTTTAGCCGCGAGCTTTTCAAACGGTGAGAATTATGCGCCGCGGTGACGCGAGTGTACCGGAGTGTTTTGACACGAGCGTGGCGCGGTGATCTCGGCGAATGATCGCGCATCGATGAATGAAGAGGACACTGTTACGCACTGGCAATAACGACGCGGGAACAACGAACATCGAGGTGAGTGCTGGCCACTGTTTTTCTACCACTTGGTGCCATCGTAGCGTGTTTGAGGTTAGGTCGCGCGGGGCTATGCCGAGTCTCTCCCTCGAGCAGACATTCCCCTATGGTGGTCCGGAGTGTACGTTGCGCATTTGCTCGCGAACAATACCGCCGTTCGCGAACGGTTCAGGCATCCGGGTCCTCTCGAGTCCAGGCCTAAAAAAAGCCTCCTTTTCACTCCTAAACGATGCGTGCCGGCGCATACGTCTCTCCTTCTCCTCGATCCCCCCTTTCTAAGTAGTATGCGAGCCTCCTCGGGGTCCTGCTGCGATTCGACTATATATATATATATATATATATAGTTGTCCTCTGCAACAGGTAGCGATGGACCAGCCTCGACGCGCGTGGTCTTCCTCGCAGGTTTCTTTCGACTCTGTTATCGTCTATGTTAGTGGCATCACGTCACGTTTCTTCGTTCCGATAAATACGCGTGAAATTTTTCGGAGTACCTCCCGACACTTTGTCTACTATCGAACGTCTCTTCTTTTTTTTTCTTCTCCTTTGAGACTTTGTCAAACTTTTATTACTTATTGCTATATGTAAATTGCGCAAAATTTATTGCACACGAACAGACTGACTAGGACTACTCGGTCAACTACTCTGTCGTGTCTATTTCTTCACTTGATTATCAGTCGTTGATTGATATCAAATATACGTAGATTTATGTATACACAAGCTTTTTAACACGTTGACAGCTATGACGTTAGATTTCATCCGAAAAGCCGGCCGAAAATATTTTTGTCGTTTGCGTGACACATTTTGATACATTATAATGTTTATGTTTGAACTTCTCACTGAATTTCATTATTCTCGGAAGAAGTGACAAGATATCATTCAATTTACCTTCCAAGGAAAGAAGAAAAAGAATTGACGTTTGGCCAACTTTTTGAGTCAAATGCCCCACTTCAATAAATATATTAGAACAACTAAAATGAGATAAATATCATTAACGAAGAATTTTAAATAAATTACATAAATAATAATTAGATCATACATTGATAAAATGAGAAATACATTATTTTATTGTAATATAGTACATTGTGGAAGTTAAATATTTTGTGCCATAGACAAAATGCACGACAGTCGACGTGCTTCATGCGATTTCACAGTTGTCAACAGGTAAAATCTTCGCGCTGGATATTTTCAAAGAGTGTAGAAATCGTAGAGAACGTTTAATGGTATCCGCTCGAAAAACGTGCTCCGTGGATATTAACGTTGGGTACCGTTGCATTCATACGTGCTCGATTTTCGGTTGTGTGCAATTCGACTCGCGTTGCACGTTATTTGCTTTTACGCAACGTGGAAGGATTTAGTAATCGGATGCCTGTCGCGTCGATATTTCACACTTTGCGAAGTCCTCGGACTGGAAATAAGATTCGTTCAGACTCGGGCTTTGGATTTATCTTCTGTTTTAGGAGACAAAGGAATATAACGTATCGTGAGATGAGTGATAAATCATAAATGTATTCAGCGTAATGAGGATTTTTAAATTTTCACGGGCATTATTGGAAGAAATGGAACTTAAAGAGAAAATCGTTTCTTCTATATATTTTTTACAATCAATTTTTAGATATTTCCGAGCATTTCTACACTTTCATTTTTCACGAAATGAACGTTATTGAAGGAATGGAATCTAAACAGAGAATTGTTTCTTCCACATACTCTTATAATGAGTTTCTGGATATTTTTAGACATTTAATAATCTTTGGATATTTTCGAACGTTACATGCACTTTTTACACCATCGAACTTGCCTCGAATTGCATGAAAGTCCACAGCCTCCAATAATGACTGGATGCTACTCTCATTTTTGGAGCGTCCTGTATTTCCGCTTTCACGCGATATCACGGAAACGCGCATGAATGAAACAAGATAAGATACATTTGCATTTCTCATTCACGTTACGGACAACAGATACGGAGCGGAGAAAATAAAAATCTCGTACGACGAGATTACTTTCAACAGCCTGTCGTGGAAAAAAGTTTTCAGGTTAAAGTCAGTTCTTTTAATTACGATATATATGGTATCGCTTGGTACTATGCATCACAGAATAATATGTATTATTATTAATTAAAACGAATAATATATTATTATTATAAATATATATATTAATAATATATATA